AAGGTTACAATAAACATGTGCTTCACTGAGTGCTCTAGTTAAGGTTACAATAAACACATGCTTCAGTGAGTGCTCTAGTAAAGGTTACAATAAACATGTTTTACTGTGTGCTCTAGTAAAGGTTACAATAAACATGTTTTACTGCGTGCTCTAGTAAAGGTTACAATGAACAAGTGCTTCACCGAATGCTCTAGTTAAGGTTACAATAAACATGTGCTTCACTGAGTGCTCTAGTTAAGGTTACAATAAACACATGCTTCAGTGAGTGCTCTAGTAAAGGTTACAATAAACACATGCTTCAGTGAGTGCTCTAGTAAAGGTTACAATAAACATGTTTTACTGTGTGCTCTAGTAAAGGTTACAATAAACACGTGCTTCACTGGTGCTCTAGTAAAGGTTACAATAAACATGCTTCACTGAGTGCTCTAGTTAAGGTTACAGTATGCTTCACCGAGTGCTCTTGTTAAGGTTACAATAAACATACTTCACTGAGTGCTCTACTTAAGGTTACAGTATGCTTCACTGAGAGCTCTAGTTAAGGTTACAGTATGCTTCACTGAGTGGGCTATTTAAGACAATAGTTATGCATTTACAAACTTCTAACAAAACTTAATTCCCACAAATAAATTAAAGTATTAAAGAAAGTAGGATAAAGTATTAAAGGAAGTATGATAAAGTATTAAAGGAAGTAGGATAAAGTATTAAAGGAAGTATGATAAAGTATTAAAGGAAGTAGGATAAAGTATTAAAGGAAGTAGGATAAAGTATTAAAGGAAGTATGATAAAGTATTAAAGGAAGTATGATAAAGTATTAAAGGAAGTAGGATATTATTTATAGCAGGAATAATATCGTGGTAGATGACAAAACTTACTCTTGACACACTGAACTCCTGCATTTCCGGTATACTGAGGAGGACAGCTGCACACTCGGTCATGATTAATAGGCTTACAGACAGCATTTACTCCACAGGCACCATAGATACTACAAGGGTTCTGACAAATTGCATTGATGCAGGCTTTATCGAATGCACAGTTTGCGTCGTCGCGACAACCCTCTAGAAATAAGATGATCAGTAATACAATGTAATATCACTTTCAGTGTGTAGGATTAAAATTAATAACATTATGAAACTTGTAAAAAAAATGTCCACAGACTGTCTGTAATTGCTTAGTTTGTAAACAGTACTTTTCAGGTTTCAGATTTTAATAACTAGATCTGTTCAGGTGTAATTAAAACGTTCAACTCACCTATACATCGTTCATTTTTACAAATCTTTCCAATCGGACATTCAATGTCATTTGTGCAGTAATCATCAGGAACTGTGAAATAAAAAAACGAAACTCGATGTAAATATAAAATAATGATGAACAATCATTGTCAGAAAAGAATGAGATTTTTACTATTGTAAGAATCTCTGTTCAGAAAATAAAGTGTAGCAATTGAAAGAGTCTTGGTTCAAACTATGAAGTATAAATTAATGTAAAAATCATTATTTATAGTTTTAGTTTTTAATCTATATACTTTTTTCAGAGTACTTTGTACTACAAATAGTTATTGACACCCACAGCATGTCATGGAAAGTTAACGTAATATTACACTAACCAGGTTCGCATTTAATAAGAGGATTTCCACGGAAGTTGTACGGACAGGTGCACACTGGTCTATGATTGGATGGATTGCAGTGAGCATTTTGACCGCAACTGTGAGGCAGTAAACATGGATTCTGACACTGACCATTGATACAAGCTCGATCCAAGGGACAATTATTGTCATGACGACAACCCACTAATCAGTAAGAAAAAAAGAAAAGCATTTATTTAATGAAAACACTTAGTCAATATTTTATTTCCTTCTCATATGGAAGTCTAATTAAATGTTAGTTTTGTCTCTTGTTTTAATTATCATCTATAAGTATTCTAAATGTTTACAAATTATTTGTTCAAGTTCTGGTAATTACATTTAGTTTTGTACAAATGTTAAAGTCAAGCTTGTTTATCTTACCAATACAGTGGTTGTTGTCACAAATCTTCCCCTGCACACAATCTTGGTCATGAGTACATTCCACAGGTATAGTTTCTATAGTAGAGGCAATATTCTTTAATCAATACACAAACTCAAAGCTAGGTCACTTGAAAACAAAACTTAAATTCATCAGTTTAGATTATTATTTTTTTGTTTGTTTTTGAATTTCGCGCAAAGCTACACGAGGGCTATCTCCGCTAGCTAACTCTTGGGCTACTCTTTTACCAACAAATAGTGGGATTGACTGTCATGTTATAATGCCCCCACAGTTGAATGGGCGAGCATGTTTGGTGGGACGGGGATTCGAACCCGCGACCTGCGGATTGCGAGTCGAGCATCCTAACCACCTGGCCATGCTGGGCCATCAGTTTAGATAAACATAATACTCATGACAGCAAAAAAATGAAAGACATAAATTCACATTTATGATCACAAAAAAAATATATATATATATATATATTTTTTAGACAAGTATTAAAGTTTTTCTTCTTACCTTTGTTACACACGACGTTGGGATTACCAATGTAACCTGCAGGACAAGAGCAGTCAGGCTGATGATTGATTGGTTGACAAATGGCATTTCTTCCACACGCCCCATAAAAACTACATGGATTTTGGCAGATGCGATTGATACAAGCCTCATCATATGCACAGTTCTGGTCTGTTCTGCATCCAACTATTAACAGAATTTTCATTTTAGAATATTAGAGGCTCGTTAGATGCAGAGTTTTTCTATTCACCAACTAAAGAGTTTTATTAATGAGTTTTTCAGGTTCAACGTCTTTTAAAATCTACCTGAAGTTCTAAAACTTAACAACAACAAAGAAATTAGATTGAACAAACAGGGACGATTAACACAAACGACAGCTTCCTGTAATACTTACTGATACACTTGCTGTCATCACAGATGTGTTGAATAGGGCAGTCCGGATCAGTTTTGCATTCACCTTTACCCACTACAGTAAAAAGTCATCATAATTTTTTTAGTTAATTTGTTGCACTAAACTATAATGATATTCCAATTACCAAATATTAAATGAGAAATGGGACAATTACGTTCCTAATTATAAAACACATACAATCCAAGAGATATCTTATAATAATGATTTCTGAACAAGAAGTACAAAACTTTTACTGATGTCATCTCTATAACAAGTTAGTACTACATCATTAGGGTTTACGGAGAAAACAAGGAGCATGAATAGCATACCAAGTTGACACTCCACATTGGGATCACCAACAAATCCAGGTTGGCATGTACAAATGGGACGATGGAAAACGGGTTGACAGTTGGTATTGATGCCACAAGCATTTGGCTGACTACAAGGGTTTTGACACTGCTGGATGATGCAGGCCTTGGTAGGGAGACAGTTGTCATCACTACGACAACCCTCTATGTATGAGAAAAAGAAGTGCTAAATTAGGGACTATACAATCAAGATTATTCATTAAATAGGATTGGTAACTATAAAGTATGAACAATGAACAAAAAATGATGTTTTTCTTAGAAAAGGAATTCACGATCTATCCTATCTTCATAACTTCATCATTATATCATAGGAAAGAGTTTGTTCATTTAATACTAGAACTCATTAAAACTTCACAATTTAGAAATATTTTAATAATCAGACATTCTTATTCAAAGATGAATACAGATTCACTTGCTGAAGTTCAGAACATGAAAACAAATATTCTATTTACTTCATTTAGAATTTTGGAATGATTTTAGAATTCTCTAAGGAAAAGTCAGAACGTCAGGTGTAAAGGATTAATATTTTTCAAAAAGTTTACTAGTGAAGAAATTAAATAAGATCTTGAAAAATAGCCGAGATGTAATATATAGATATCAACAGATTATATAGACAAAATATTAGGAAGATTTTGTTTCCTGCACACACATTATACAGAATGTTATTAAAAATAAACATACCAATGCATTTTCCTTGCACACAAATGAAACCAAAACTACAGTCTTCATCTACTTTGCATTCATCTTCATCTATTCTTCCTGTAAATGTCAGAGAAAAAAATACTTAGTCTTCTGTATGAAGAAATAAATGTGACAATTCTACAAAAACTTAAAGTTATTTGATGGCAGTATATCGATCAGATCCACAAACTATGTTAGCACAATAAACAAAGTGATTATCAAAAAAACATGCAAAGCTAAAGGCAAAGTTTCAACCTAAAAATATTGATTAATGTTTACCTAAAGTACACATCACTTCTGGGTTTCCAGTGTAATCAATAGGACATTCACAGATAGCTTTGTGATTTGCTGAACGGCAATCGGCATTGACTCCACAAACTCCGTAGAAACTGCAAGGGTCTTGACAGCGACGATTTATACATGCTTTATCATAAGAACAGGAGTCGTCTGTGCGACAAGCATCAATACATTTGCTGTTCTCACAGATTTTTCCAACTGGACAGTCACTGTCGGTGTAGCATATGTCAGAAGGTGCTGTAGGAAGAAAGAAAAAAGTTGATTAATCGGTTAACAATATAAATTTCAAAATGATTTTGATTCTGTAAATGTAGATATTGAAATTCTAAGCATCTAAAAAATTATCAAGTTACTAAACTTTAGATATGATACGACAAATGGTAGCCTGTAGTTAAACTCTTAACATACAAAGTACTACTATATTACTAATGAGGAATTATGATACAATAGTTGGTTACTGGTGATTAAACTATTAACATACTAATGTATTACTGAATGGGGATTATGATACAACAGCTGGTAACTGGTGATTAAACTATTAATGTACTACTGTATTACTGAATGGGGATTATGGTACAACAGCTGGTAACTGGTGATTAAACTATTAATGTACTACTGTATTACTGAATGGGGATTATGATACAACAGCTGGTAACTGGTGATTAAACTATTAACGTACTAATGTATTACTGAATGGGGATTATGATACAACAGTTGGTTACTGGTGATTAAACTATTAATGTACTACTGTATTACTGAATGGGGATTATGATACACCAGCTAATAGGTGGTGATTTTTTGATCTGTAGAAAGCTGCCTTTGTGAAAGATTATTATTAAATAGACATTAAAATTTAACACAAAGAAGGTAGAGACGGTAATTATTTTACATAAAACATCCAGTAGTAAAACCAAGTGCCATTA